TTATCGGGATCTTTATAGCGATTCTTTGCATTCGCTAGATTATTACGATCTTCTTTTTATAGCTGACGAAGCAGATAAAGCTGGTTCAAACGATGAATACGATATAAAAAGGCTTAAGCTTCGAAACCGTAATAATATTAACGCAAAGGAAAAATGGAATTTGCGCAACTTTCGAAACCTTCGTATTATGCTTATAAACGAGGACGACATATCGAACCGGCTTAAAGATCTAGCTTATAATTAAGATTTATATATTAGTAAATATAATATTTTATTAATTTATATCCGAGATTAAAAAGCTGTTGCAAGAATGTCTAATATGCGGGTTAGCGCTACTCGAGGTTGTGACTTTAAAAGACTTTCCGATAAGCAAAAGAGGTTTTATCATTTTATAATAGATCATTATACTATAGTATTATTAAACTAACCTTTTCTATAGCTGCTAATTTATCTCGATAGCAAAGCTGGCACGAGCAAAACCTATTTTATTTTAGCTACTTGCGTCTAGCTCTAAGATATAACAGACGAAGCTGGCAAGCTAAATCTAGTCATCCGAGCAGCGCTTACAGGTGTTGCTGCCTTTAGTATTGCAAGAGCTATATTATATTCTTTATTAGCGCTACTAGTCAAACACTATACTATAGACAATTCTTTTGCTACTTTTTAGACTTTTTAAGCGAAATTCAAAGACTGCAAGTATTTAATTATTAATAAAAAGTCAATGATTAATCTAAAAGACTTCGTTCGAATTTAAAAACGCTATGCTTAAATTTTCTTTAAATCTCAAGAGCTATTTGGAGGTCTGAGTATTTACTTTTGTAGTGATTTTTACTAATTACCGCTAGTTGAAAAGAAGTTTTTATTTATAACTTATAACTTTTCGTCGAAACAAAAGATCGGTTAGTCTTTTTATCGATTATTTAACAAAACCATTCGATTTGAAGTTATTATGCGTTAAAAGAGCGAGTCTTTAAAAGCTATCAATTTTCGCAAAGCACTTTTAAAACTCCGAAAAGATAACTTTTCGATAGAAAGCTAAGAACTCTTTATATCTCGAGTTAAAATGAATATCCGGCCGGCTGATAAAGATTCTTTTAAAAATGCCTTTTGTATTTACTTTACGAACGCAGAAGTCAAAAAATACAACTACGAGCAGCTAAAAAAGCTAAACGCGCTTATCTTAAGACTTAAGTTAAAAAATACGAGTAGCGCGAAAGCTTATAACGCTGATTGGAAAGAAGCTGAAGGCTTAAAGCAAAGTATTAATATATGTATTAGAGCTAAAGTGATATTGAATTAAAATCTTTAAATAGAAATAAAAATAATCAATAAGTTTATAAGAATAGTTAAAGATATCTTTTAAGAGGCAAGGGTCAAACCACGTAAAGAACTGCTACAAAGCATTATAATAGAGATCGAAAATTATACTAGTTTTACTTTCGAAAATACTAAATAGTTCTTAATATTTATCGTAAATCGAGACTTTTTTTACGATAATAAGCCTTGCAATCGTCGGCAACTGCTTCTTTGCGTAGCTTACGCAATCACGGTATATAAGAGTTAAAGAATTTCCTTGATTAAAGCAATAATTAGTTAAGCTAAGACTGAGTTTGTTTATAAGCTATATTATGTTTCAGCTTTTAAAGTAAAGACTTTAGCGAGGGTTATGTTTAAGAATATGTTTGATTTTTATCGGTTTAAAAAGAAGTCTATTAGTATTAGTATTGATCGAGACATAGATCATGTGTATCAAGGTCAGCTTGCATAGCGATTGTAAAACGTGTAAATATATATATATATTACATAAACTACAAAAGTTACAAAAGTTATAAAAGTTATAAAAGTTACAAAAGTTATAAAAGTTACTAGAGTTATAGAAGTTACAAGAACTAATAAAAAGCCTTTGTACCTCGCTTAATTTAAATAAAGGCTTATTTGCACGTACACTTAACCTTAGTATAATAATTTCCTTATATCTAAACACTTTGCTTTTACGATATACCGAAATCAAATAACACATAGTAATAAATCATTCATCGCCTTTCTTATTGCTATTATGAATACGAAGTAAGAAACATAGAGTACTACTAATTATATTAAAAAAGAAGAGCTTGATAAAGGGGAGATTAAAGAAAAAGAGATTAATAAGAAAGAAATTAAAGAAGGGGAGATTAAGGAAGAAGAGATTAAGGAAAAGGAGATTAAGGAAAAAGAGATTAAGGAGGGGGAGATTGAAAAGGAAGGCGATATTAAAAAGGAAGGAAACATTAAGGAAGAGGAAAAGGAGGCTATTATACTACTAGCAAAAATTCTTTTACTAAACGACTTTTATTACGCAACCTTATTACGCGCCTTTATAGCACCATCATCTAGCTTGCTACGCTAGCGATATAAGTCACTCGATCTTTTCGGTAGTAACGACGAGATGACCCGCATTATAAGTAAGATCAACTTCGAAAGATTTATCGATGCTCAAAGCAGCTAATAAACTAATAATAATGCTTAAGGCAATAATAAGACACAAAATGATGCTTAAAGCAATAATAAAATATAAGATAATGCTTAAAGCAATGATAAGACATAAGATAATGTTTAAGGCAAACAATAAAGCGAAGTAAGCAAAGAAAAAGGTTAAGATATTATACTTACGAATCTTTTTAAGTTTATATACACGACGTATAAAAACAAGAAAATATACGACGATCTCGAAGTACACCGCGCATTTAAGCAGATCGAGCAATTTAATAAAATCAAGGTCAAAGCAAAAGTATTAAAATTAGCGTTAGATTTGCTTCTTCTTTTATTCTTTCCGACTTTTAAGCCAAGCATAAATACGATTTATTAATCTCTACCGCGTCTTGCGCCTCTCGCACTTGCTTAGCTACTTAAAAGACTTATTAAAATCGAATGCACTAAGTGCAGCAGCTTCCGCTTATTGCTATACTTCTTTATCTTAAACACTAATCTGCGATTTATTACTTGCTTAAATTGCTGTTATTAACGACGCAATAAGTTGGCTAAAGAATACTTTATTCGGGATATAGCTCGAAAAGGTTTAATTAGCAACTTAGCAGATATAATAATATCGGAATATATAGCCAAATTAACGGACGAACCTTGCTAAAGCTATTTAAGTGTATTCTCGTAAAAAGAGCTCGACAACTTATATACTTGTTATAATTATCGTAGCAAGCGCACTTTTTAGCGCTTATAGATATCAGATAAGCGGGTAAAAAAAGCATTGCAAAGTTTGAAAGCTTATAAATAGATCGAGCTTAAGTTTCATCGATTGATAGCTATAAAACAGTATAAGCTTAACGAATTGTAAGATGTACAAGAATGGTTTATTATTAAAAAAGGTTTTATAGCTATTAGCAATTAATTAAGGGTAAACAATATATTTAGATTATACGTTTAATTAGGCCGAATCAATTATAACCTTTATAACCTTTATAACTTCTGTAACTTTTATAACGTTAATAATTTTGTATAATTATATATACTAAGCCGATAGATTTAGCAAGAGCGAAAATTTAATTATATTATAAGAGTTACAAGAGCTATAAGAGTTACAAGAGTTACAAAAGTTATAAGAGTTATAAGAGTTACAAGAGTTATAAGCTATTATACAAAATATTATATAGAAATACTGCTATACCGACGAATATAATAAATGTAAGAATTTGGCTAAGCACGGACCTTTTTGAAAAGTGAATTCGTCTATCACTTTTTAATATTTATTATAACTTAAATATTCTTCTTAACTTTAATATCAACGTCAATATCAACTTCAACTCTAACTTTAATATCAACTTTAATTTTAACTTTAACTTTAACTTTAACGTTAATTGCAATTACAACTACAATTATAACTATATTAGCAATATAATCTTACTCCGCTAGCGCAACTTTCGAGACGGACTTTATATAAAGCGGGTAGGTCGGCCGGATCCGGCTTATAAGCGGCAAGTACAACTACTTCGTAAGCAGTAGTAGTTGCTTTTATACCTCTTTTCTTTTCTTTAATAAGCTTTGCCTTTTACTTTGCTTATTGCTTTAATTAAGCCCGCAGTATAAGTGATAAGTAATGCACTTTAACTACTTACGCTAATATTATATATAGATTTAATTAAGACGATGATAATAATAAGAATGAGCTAATGATCTCTCGCTTTTTTTTTCTTTTTTTTCTTTATACCGTCCCCGCCGTCCTCGCCGTCTTCGCTACTGCTTTGCCTTTTCTTTTCTTTTTCTTTTTTTTTGCTATAAATTTAGCAATAAGAGAGGTCGAGAAAAAAGTAAAAGAAGATAAAGTAATAAAAGATTCTAAGCTCGCAATATAAGTTATCTTAAGATCAAGTGATACATTCGAGTTACTTACGCTAATTACATATATATATAGATTCGAAGACGACGATATAAATAAGCTAATAATCTTTCGCTCTTTTTCCCTTTCTCTTTTCGTCTTTCTCGCGCTATCGATTTTTATTAGCGTCCCGGCTCTTAGCTTCGCCCCGGCTCTTATATTCTTCGCCGCCGCCGTGCCCTCTTTTGCTACGCCACTTGCTACCCTTCGCTTTATAAGCTTTGGACCGATCTTATCTTTATAATAAAGCATAAGCGTAAGTATATTTCATATCTTTTATTAATGCTTATTAATCAAATTAATAAATGTTTGCGTCTTCGCCGGCCGTTAATAAGAAGACTCTTTTTATTAAGGCTTAGCTTGAATAAGCTTAATCGACTGCCGGGTTTGCGCGGCTCTCTTAAGCTTGGACTACTTAAAAGAAGAACAAAGACTTATACACGCCTTCCGCTATAAGCATATAATGGTCGTATAAGCAATCGGACTTGTCAAAGCTCCTTTTTTTTCGCCGTACTATTATCGGCTACGTCGGCCGTATTATAAAGACCGAATTGTAATAATTACTTTTTTTTATCTTTTAACAACTTTAAGTTAATATAAATATATAAAAGTGAGCTAGTAGACCCGCTTTGCGATGCGTGCGCCGTTGCTCGCCAAGAGTGCTAAGCATACTCTTCGGCTGCTAAAGCATAAATATTTAATTCGAAGGATGCGTATGCTCGATGTCGATAGTTTTTTCGGAAGTGTATTGCGTTTAAAAAGAGCTTACGTAAGAAATGTAAAGTTGGACCCTTTTCTTTTGCTCGAGACTTCCTCCTTTCTTCTTTTCCTCTTCTTTTAAGTGCACCTCTTACAGCTGGGTTAAAGATTCGGGTTTAGACCTTCTTTAATGCATATTCTTAAACTTGATAACTCTTATAACTTTTATGACTTGTATGATCTTATAGCTTTTATAACTTCTGTAACTTCTGTAACTTCTATAACTTCTATAACTTTTATAACTTTTATAACTTTTATAACTTTTGTAATTTTTATAACTTCTATAACTTTTGTAACTTTTATAACTTCTGTAACTTTTGTAACTTTTGTAACTTTTAATATTTTCGTAATATAAGTAAATATATAATTATAAGTAATAAAGGGGGTCCGGGGTCTCCTCGGTATAAAAATGAAAAGATAAGTAAT